ATATAATCCAATAAGGCAACTAAAATGTTTATCCTACAATTTAGCAACGGAGAGAGAAGAACTAGAGAGGAAGCCCTGGCTGACGGTCTCCGATTGGCTGTTTGGAACTTTGGATGCAACCCTCATTTGGCCGAACCATTGTGTGCCAATCGGTGTCATGTCACGGTCACGGCTTAATCCAAACTAGGCAAGATGCTGTGTCCAATTGTCCATGATTATGACTGGTCTCCGCTAGATTCTTATGACAAGTCAAAAACATGGCTGCAAATTGGGCACTAGGTCGAACAACATTGATATGTGATAGAATGTGGTAGACTAGCCAAACATTCCCCTACTTCCTCTCCCGTTGATAAGAAGCATGTCACAATTGGTTTGTGTGGATGAAACAATTTACATCATGTATTCTGCACGTTGATTGAAGCATTTGAAGTAGCGCTCACTTCATTGCGCATTTTCCTATTCCTCGTGCACGAAAGAACACACATGGTAGAAAAAAGTTTGTCGAAAAGTATATTTGTAGAGATGTACAACAAATACAACTGTAAGGGCGCATGTTTGGCACAGTTCCATCCCAGCTGGAGCCTAGCCAAACAGTTTCAGCTCTACTTAAAATAAGAGTGAAGCTGGAGAAAACTCTGTCACAAAATAAACTACAGAGATGAAGTTGGGTTTAGATAGCTCCACTATTCCACTCGAGACTCAACTCCTTGAGTTAAATTTAGGAGTTGGAGCTCTACTAAACAGGCCCTAAAAACATGACCCATTCTCTACTCGATTGTTTTCTATCACCGTATTGTCAGAAAGAGGCCTATGAATTGATAATGAAGTTAAGGCCGAATATCCATTATGTAACAAAAAAAAACCCCTATAAAACGACAATAGAAAGCATGTGGGACCAGCGAGTGACATTGCAGAAAAAAAATTGGGACCAAAAGCATAACAACCAAGCCTAAAAACCCTGAAATGCATGGGTAGAATTCTTTTTTTATATATAAAAAAACCTGAAATGGCCTCTAGAAGACAAAAATGATATAAAGAGAAGCACATTTTAACAGTAAAGTGATCCGTTCGTTGTACAATGTGTGAACTTTTAGGACCATGTATTAATATTATCAGGTGAGTACCTGTATTCTTACAAGCCCAGTAAACTATTTGATTGGGTTTTATAACTTGCCTAAGGTTGCCACGTCTCAAGTTAGATAAGTTTAATTGACTTAGATGGTTGTTTGGTTGATAAACTACTTAGAAAAATGGTTTTTTTTAGGTGGCCAAAAATGATTTTTTCAGGCAGGGAAATGATCCGCCTGTATGCCAACGCCTGTAAAAATCGATGATTTTCGTAGGCGGCCCAGTCACCCGCCTGTGAAAATCATCTCGACAAACAAAAAAAATCGCCGCCACCACACTTGCGCCCCTACCAACCTCCGGCCGATCTAGGGTTAGAGGAACTACGTAGGGGCGCCGCCGCTGCCGGGGGTGGGGGGCACCACCGCCCTCCCCCTCCCTCCGGCCAGATCTGGGAGGAAGGGGAACTGCCGCCACCACCGCCACCGCCGCCCTCCCCCGGCCTCCCTCCGGTTGGATCTGGGTGGGAGGGGAACTGTCGCTGTCGCCGTCGCCACCGCCCTCCCCTGGCCTCCCTCTGGCTAGATCTAGGAGGGAGGGGAACCACCACCGCCGCCACCTCTCCTCCCCCTCCCCCCTTCGGTCGGATATGGGAAGGAGGGGAAGGGAGCTGCGCCAACCCCGCCTCCTCGGCGTTGCCGCCGCTGACCCCTCGCCTCGTCGTCGTCGACCCTGCCACCTCCACGCGTCGCCATCGCCGGTTTCCGCCACTCCCGTCGCCGATCGCTGAGGGAGCTGAGGGAGAAGAGGTGAGGGAGAGGAGAGGTGAGGTGAGACTTAGAATAAATCGCGGTGCCATATCGTGTCTATTTATATCCATGCCAATTTTCGTAGGTGGATCACATAAGAGGTCCGCCTGCAAAAATAAAGGGTATTTTTGCAGGCCTGCGAAACAGTGAGTTTCAACTGGGTTTGCATTTATGTAGGCGGCCATTTTGCTCTCAGGGTCATGTCCGCTTGGGAAAAAAAATACCCCATATCTGAAAAAATGTTTTTTCTAAGTAGAGATAACCATACTCATGACAAAGATTCTCCATCATTTAGGCCTCACATGCTACTAAGATAAAAATGATAAGAATGTCTCATGTTAGCTAAAGTGTGGCTCTAATTTTGCTAGTCACATCTTAAAAAAATTTAAACAATTAGGCATTGTTTGACTAATTGGTTAGGGAAATGATTTTCCACCCATCAAAAAGCATATTTAAATTCCAACTATTCATTCTCCCTCTTTTATTTAATCTAACCCTTCGTTCATTTCCCTGACCCAATTTCACTCTTTTTATCCCACTATCGTCCAAACAAATCTTTACGGGAAGCTTGGCTAATTTGAAGTGCCGAACTAAAATACCGCATAAGCTTAGCTTCTCTCTATCGAAATTGCTAATTAGCGGGTGATCGCTCCCCGCGATCTTTTTTTTCCTTTCTCCATTTGTGCCTGGGGCACGGGCCAATCACGCGCCGCGGGTGATGGCGCATTAGGGCATCACCAATATATATGGATAAGTGATCTATATATAGATGGGACCCACATAAATAGTTTATTTCTATGACAATGTCCACAATGTATATAGATACAATGTATCATTAGGAGAAGAGAAAGGAGTAGAGATAAATAATATAATTTATTCTTTTGCTATTTTTCTATATGGACTAGTTGTACAATAATAATAGGTGGCTCAATGGAATATTCTATTGCTTATAGACTACTTTTACATCACAATGGATGCCCTTAGGCGATCCCTCTCTCTACTCCCTACGGCATATAATGACCAAAGTGCAAGTAACCAGGTTGGTAGAGGCCTATAGGGTTTGGTTTTGCCTATTTTTTTTTAAGTCGATCATATAGATTAGAGTAACACGTATTACACAGTAGTAGACTAGACAATCATACCACACCGTAACGCATATGGATAGCTATCACTATCTTACGGTATGTTTTACCAATATATTTCCTTAGTCAGACTCGTTCAAAGATAATATTTGATATCTATCTGGACTATTGCCGATTCCTTATTCATTTCGAAGGTATTTAATTAAGCAAATTATTTGACTAATTTACCCTTAATTAAGCAAGTCTTATTTTTTTATACGACCTTTGTTTATGTGGTTCGCTTTCTCCAAAATGCCGGTAATGAAAACTTCCTGCTTTCTAAAAGAAATATCTATATCTTCAATTTTTATCATAGAAATACAAAAATAAATTCTAAATATATAACTAGAATCAATAACAAACTATAAAGAGAACATAACCCACTTAGGTTTAATTCTATACATAAAATAAGTATTCGCATTTACGACTAATGATAGATGACGCAGCAGTAGACGAGATAAGTAAAGGTAAGTGTGCACGTATTTATATGAGCACCTGATATAGGGTGTGGCTAATGCACGGGAGCGATCACCAGCCCGCCCCTCCCCCTATACGCTCTCTCCCCCTTCCCCCTCCTTCTCTTCCTACTACTAAGTACACCATAAAGTTAAAAAAAATGAAGTTGAAAAAATTTATGTATAGAAATACTATATATAAAAAATATTTTGAATTCAAATTCAAATTTGAAACAGGTATGTAAACTTTTGACTTATAAACTTTGGGTCTATAAACTAATATTTGAATTCAAATTTAAATTTGAACGGGTATGTAAACTTTTGACTTATAAACTTTGGGTCCATAAACTAATATTTGAAGTCAAATTTCAACAGGTATGTAAACTTTTGACTTATAAACTTCGGGTCTATAAACTAATATTTGAATTCAAATTCAAATTTGAAACGGGCACGTAAACTTTTGACTTATAAACTTTGGGTCTATAAACTAATATTGAATTCAAATTCAAATTTGAAATGTGTACGTAAACTTTTGACTTATAACCTTTGGGTCTATAAACTAATATTGAATTCAAATTCAAATTTGAAACGTGTACGTAAACTTTTGACTTATAAACTTTGGATCTATAAACTTTAGATGTATAGATATACTATATATAAAAAATATTTAAATTCAAATTCATATTTGAATCGGATATATAAACTTTTGACTTATAAACTTTAGGTCTCTATATATTAGATGTGTAAACTTGAGGTGTACAAACTTTACGTATATAAATTTAATAAAATAAAAAAATAATACGGTGTAAAAAAAAGAAAAAGAAAACCACGTGGAGGGAGGGGATCGGCTGATCGCTCGATCGCGCCCCTTAGCAATCTCGCCTGGTATACGTGTTTTAGATAAAGAAACAAAGATAAGAAAAGAAAAAGAAACAAACTAAACATTGGTTAAAGAAAGTTGGATCCCTTGTTTTCTATACTTGATTCCATTTCCCAAACGTAACCACCGCCTGGAAGGAAACTTGAAAGAGAAAACCGACTAACTAAGAAACCTAAACGATTGGTTAAGGAAGGTTAGAGATCCAATGTTTTCTACCCGATTCCCACCATCAGTCCATTTCTTGACGAATGGTTGATAATTTCATTCTAATAATCTCTTAAAAAACTAAATCTACGATGAGTGCAGACATCTTATATCTTGGTACAATTAAATAATAATTAAATACATTCTCACGATAACAAAGTGTCTATCATATTTTTCACGTATATGCTTTCTAATCTATTAAACAGTGTGGTTTTCTTAAAATAACTTCAATAGAAAAGTTACTTTGAAACAATATACTAATAAATTTTAAGTTTTTCTAAAGTTAATATTTAATTAATTATAATCGCTCCGTTTACAATGTTTGTGGTTGGAATTAGGCCAGGTTGATCTGCCATTTCTCCCTAATCATCTCATCTCATCGCTTTTTTTTTTCTTTTTTCTTTGTCACTTTCGCCTCTCTCTCTCTCTCTTCCTCTCTCACGGCTGCTGCTGCAGTGGCCATAAAAATAAATCTCGCGCAGGGGGTGGGGAAGGGAAGGAGGAGGAGAGGAGAGGAGGGCGCACGCACCACACCACCACCACCGTCACAAGCACCGCAATCTCTTTCTCCCTTTTTCTTCTTCTTTCTTTCTTTCTTTCTTCCCCTTATCCCCAAGAACCGCGTCTCTCAAGAGGTGGGGAGAGGAGGAGGAGGAGGAGAAAAAGAAATCCAATCTTTTTCTTTTTTCTTCTTGTGTCAAGATGTCTTCCCCGAGCAAGCGCCGCGAGATGGACTTGATGAAGCTGTGAGGATCTTGTCCTTTATTTATTTATTTTTTTTGGGGGGGGGGGGGGTGGAATTGTGTTTTTGCCCGGTTTGATTCTTTTCTTTCTATTGGTGGTCTCCATCGTCTAATCTGATGTGTTGTTGTTTGTTGTTTTGGGGGTGGGGGGATTGGGGATTTTCTTGGTTTCTTGTTGTTGCAGGATGATGAGCGACTACAAGGTGGAGATGGTGAACGATGGGATGCAGGAGTTCTTCGTGGAATTCCGGGGGCCTACTGAAAGTACGATCGCGCACGCAAATTCCGATTTTGTTTTTCCTCCTCCTGGTTCCTGGCCTGATGATCCGCGTTTCTTGTTTTCCGGTCTCTGATCTAGATGTAGGGGAAATAGTAGAGGAAAGAATTGGGAAATTTTGACTGTTGATCATGTGCCCATTCTGTTGGCATTTACTGGTGAAGCGTAGGATTCTAGGGCTGCTCTTGCTGATGCTGGATGAATTTTGCCTGCTTGTTCAGTTGACCAGGAGTAGTCTTGTTTCAGTGACTGGGGAAGAGAAGATATGGAGTCTGATGAATGTTTGCTTAATTTGGCAGGTATTTATCAAGGTGGTGTCTGGAAGGTTAGAGTAGAATTGCCTGATGCATATCCTTACAAATCTCCGTCGATTGGTTTCGTTAACAAGATTTATCATCCTAATGTGGATGAAATGTGAGGATTTGATGTCCATACCCTTTTCTGGAATGATTGAAGCTTGTGTAATCAATTGTTGCTGACCTGCTTTTGTTGGACTTGAAAATGTAGGTCTGGTTCTGTGTGTTTGGATGTCATTAACCAGACGTGGAGCCCAATGTTTGGTGAGATAACTCTCGTCCTTGTCATTATTAGTACGGGTACTTGCTGTTTATTCTAGCTTCTATAACCCTGGGTTGAATATTTCCATGAATTTTTGGCAGATCTAGTTAATGTGTTCGAAGTCTTCCTTCCACAACTTCTATTGTACCCAAATCCTTCTGACCCATTAAATGGAGAGGCTGCTGCACTGATGATGCGTGATCGTCCTGCTTATGAACAAAAAGTGAAAGGTGATGTGGTTTAAAGCCATTGAACTAATTATTGTTTCTGCCTAGTCTTAGACTATTGTTTGGTTTAACTGTCTTGTCCATAACATTTTGCCACAAATTCAAGCCTTAATATTATGATGCCACAATGCATTTTTGCAAGATTGGCTCACAGTTTTGTTTTATCCTACTTCCTTCATTAGCGTGGCAGCAACCAATTATTGGTATGAAGGTGTCCAATGGTTGTCCTACTTATCTTTATTCTAACATAGTAGCAAGCCCTTTAGTTTCTCTGCTTTAGAATCAGTATTCTCGTGTAGTTGGGTGCTTTCTAACCAGGATGTATATGCACTTAATCTTACCTGTGAATTAGGTTTTTATTAGTTTAGTGATGGAACATTAAGGTGCTTTGTCATAATTGTCGACTTCCTTTTTTTTTTGGGGGTTAGAAGCCTTACTAGATCTTTTTTTGATAGTTCTTATTGGAAGGAGGTCAATTTGAAATTGAAATAGCCTGCCAGAGTCTTTTTTTTGGGGGGTTATTCAGAGTCAATAGTTCTGTCATGATCTCTCAATGATCCTATGTTCTGTGGCAAAACCATGTCTGCCATTCTGAAAATTAGCCTTTGTTTGTATATAATGGCATGACTTGTTTCATTATGCTCAAGAATGGAATAAATGCTTGCTGTTGGTTTGTTTCCATGTGTTATGTTACACTGGGAATCTTCTTTCTTTTTTCGTGTCATGTTTATGAGATGTTTGACTATGTGAGGTATTCCAGTATTTGTGGCTGGAGGCAGTTTTCTATTTGAAAAGGCTCTTTCTGTATCTCTATAAGTTCCCTTTTTTGTAGGTAATTACCATTTTAAAGCTTTTTCTAGTGTATCCTAATTATTATTTTTTACCGGAGAAGAACTATCAGCGTATTGGACTGTTTATTTATAGCATTTGTGTTGAAGATCTAATTGTAATGATTAACTCTTATGTTACAACTTCAGGTGCTGCTAATATTGCTGATTTTATATTTTCTAATTTTATTTCCATATCAGAAGTCAGATTATGTGATTATTATAGTTGTGCCATGCTAATGTTGGAGAACTTCATTAGTTGATGTTTTACTGATTATCAAGGAGTATATTTTGATTGTGCATGTGATTCTTATTTGCCATCCTAGGTACTGGTTAGTGGTGTAGTGTGCACCAATCTTGTAAAAAGTAGCTAAGGACACATAAAGAAAGAGGACGAGTGAAACTATTACTACTTGTCAAAACCATTGCAGACATTATTTGCTTCATAAACCAGCTAATTTAGCCTGATTTCAATTTGTTGATTAATAAATAAATCTGTCCACCATTCATACATAGTCTATGCATTATTGTCAGTCCAGTAGCTGCCAGTTACTATAGGCCTTGTTCATCATCGGCGTAGATAATAAATACTAAGGTCTCTGCGAAGTAAAATATCAGAATTGAAATGGGAAACATGCTTGAGGACCTCTTGAAATTGTTCCTTCTTGTGCTCTTAGCCTTTTATGTTGTTTTGCTGCCAACTCAGGGGTTGTCTTTTTCATTTCTTAAACCCTGCTCTACACCAAACTGCCGATTTTGATGATTATATCACCAGAGGCTTACAGTGTGCATTTGGAGGTTGGTTCCATAGGAATAAGGACAACATTCCATATTATTTCTCATCAAAGATAGCACCGATGACTCATCGGACAGTAGCATCCGCAACTTAGGGTATGATTGGTTGCCATTTTATAGGATCTGGGCTGAGACATGCCTGGCTGGTGGGATGCAAGGGGTTGGTGTTTGATTGTGGATTTGTGGTTTCCCTGAGTGGAGATTCTGTTTGGTTGGTTCATGGGGTGCTTGATTGCGTGTATAGACGAGGATGATTTAAAAAATGTTATCAGGACTTCTATTTTGTGTTAATATACTATGAAGCCCATATCTTATTTTAATAAGCCTTAATCCACTTGTAAATACACTGATTTCATTTGCTATGCACTAACTACTTGCTAATTGCGTCATTAGCCGGCCCGTGCCTCGAAAGGGAATCTTGCCTAGCTGCTTTATAACAAAATTAAACAAGGAACTGGTGCATCTTATTGGCATGGCACAACCCCTATGCAGGCAGAATAACACATTTCTTGATCCTTGAGCACTCAGCCTCAGATGTATTGCCAGGAACTGCTAGCTTTGACCACGGTTTTAGATAGCACAGCTCACCCGGCATTGGTTTCTATTATCGTTATAGTACAACTAATACTTTTCTTTCTCTTTATACTTGATTTCATTAAGTATGGGTTGACACTTCATATTCTTTCTTGGTCAAATAAAACTGCACTGTTGCGTTTCTCCCACGCGATACCAGAAGCTCACTCGCTTTCCTTTTGCTTGTGCAGAATATTGCGAAAAATATGCAAAGCCCGAGGATGCTGGCGTAACCCCCGAAGATAAGTCGAGTGATGAAGAACTTAGTGAAGATGAAGATGACTCCGGGGATGATGCTATACTCGGCAACCCAGATCCTTAGTCAAGTCTGGAACCAGTTTCCAAAAGCTCATCATATACAATGTTTGGTTTGCAGAAATTGCAAGCAAACAAAACATGAAAAAATATCTGGGAAAAAAAAGGCTCTTTGAATCTCTCATGTAAATAAGTGTACTTGTATCTTGTCCAATGTTGTTTCCTTCAATTGACCAATTGAATTCGCAGCAGCTCTCATGTTTTCCCAATCTGTCAAAGTGTCAAGCTTGTAGATTTGTGCTCGTTCCAGGGAATAAACAAGGTTGTAGCTTCTGGTGATCTGGTCCTAGATGATGATGCTGTGCAATGTGATGGCTTGTTTGATTGATTGCTTCATGGAGGGTTAGCTTTGGTTTTTCAGGTTGCATGTGCAGATGGTGACAATCTACTTACGCTTTTTTGGTTGAAGCCAAGAGTCTAGAGATAATTTGGTAGAGGTAGTGGTAAGAATTGTGAGGCGTTTATAGTCTCAGCTGTGCCAAAACTTTCTGTACTTCTCAAAATTTCCGTTCATGCTTTTTTTCTTTCTAAAAAAATTTTCCGTTCATGCCTTCTTTTTTTTTTTTAAAAAAATAATCTAATTTCAAATATTCTTTTTTGGGCGTTCACAACGCATGCACACTTACCATAACACGTACACACATATCTTTCATACCTTAAAAGATGGCCGATATATCTTGAGATTGACGAAGTCGCTGTTGACGAGTATGTCGTTTACTCCCTCCGGGTTGATAATACTTGTCGTTTTGGACAAGGGCACGGTCTTCAAAAAACAACTTTGACAATTATTTTTCATTATAATATGTATAAAATTGTTAGCAAATATATGATCTTATTAAAGTACTTTTTAAGACTAATCTATACATGTAGTCACCATATTTGAAAGATAAATATTTTAAAAATAATTCATAATCAAATATTCTAAAGTTTGACTTCACCCTGGTTCAAAACGACAAGTATTATCAGCCCGGAGGGAGTAATTAACAGTAAATATGAGTACTCATATCAAATCTAGAGCTTTAATCAAGGTATAACCTAACCAATTAGGCTACGCTTACTTCACTAATTCCAAATATATTTAGGAAGCTTGTTTGGTATAGTACCGGCTTATGTTCAACAGCTTCGTTGTTTGCACTCCAGCTTAATAGGGGCTGTTCGTTTGTGCTAATTGTGGTAGCACAGGCGTAGCAGCTGCTATAATCGCAATTAATTTTTTAATAGCGGCTACTATTGCTGTAGCTGCAAAGTAGCGCAAAACGAAGAGCCCCATAACTGCAAACTCTAGCTAGTTAAAATTTGAAACTTATTTTGGAGTTGATTTTAATGTTTTTTATTATATCTTATTTTTTATATTGGCTTTTAAGTAATAAATTAAAAAAATATTTATTTATTAACTCGTTAGTACACGTTTTATGTACTTCACCCATCCCACTCACTAAGGCGCGCACATATTTTAAGATTTAACTCTTTAAATATTTGATCAATAAATTGTTTATTATAAATTAAATTTTATACTATAAAAATAATATCATTGGATTGTTATTTAAATTTGCTTGCATATATTTTAAGATTTTGTTGCTATAAACACTAGGATATGAGAAATTTAAAGTTAAATATTAGTTTTTGAAGACTGCTCTTATTGAATGGGGCGGAAGGAGTAATTAGCTATTGCCGAAATGATTGGACTGCATATGTTTATACTATAAATCTGATAGGTAGGGAATACTAGTTAGAAACGGGTCGTTTTCAGTAGGATGTTTGTGTGGTTCACTGATTAGTTCTTCGTCTTTTGCGTTAAAGGGACTGTTTGTGTCCGTGTATATACGCTTGTGTTTAATAAGTGATAGATGAATGAAAGATGGGATCTATGCTCGTTCGTATTCAGAAATTTGTTTTTTTTATGGGATAGAGGGTGTAGTCACGTGCCAAAGATCAGTCTTGTGTTTGTATGTATATTTGTTTTAACCTACACTGTTCATAGAAAAATGACATCCGTTTTATATTATAAATCGTTTTGATTTTTGTATTAGTCAATTTTTCTAAGTTTGATTAAGTATATGTTTTGATTTTTGTATTAGTCAATTTTTTCTAAGCTTGATTAAGTTTATAAAAAATATAGTAACCTTTTCAATATAGATAAATATATTATCAAAATATATTCAATATTATATTTAATGAAACTAATTTGGGTGGTAGATGATGTTGAGATTATAGGCATATAATAATTTAATCTATTCCATAAATAAATTATGACATTACAGATGAAAACTAGCATGAACGCATCATTAGATCTACACATATAAACTACACAGTATAACATGAACAGATCAAATATGCGCAACATATTGACGTACCGAGGTGGCGGAAAGACCGGCTGCTCGGTCGAAACTTTTCGCAGGCGTCTACGAAGGCACGCAGCACGCGAGCGAAGAGGAAGACGAGCCGTCGCGGACGAACAGGGAGCAGTCGCGCAAAGCGCTTCCCAAAAACCTTATTACCGCCTTCTCCCGGTGCAGAACGTCAAAGGCAGAGGTTCCGGAGACCTGCTCTCCCGATCGCAGGTGCACGCCGGCGAGCGGGATGGAGTAATCTACGAGCGACGGCGCATCACAGAGTCGGAGGCAAACCCTAGACTGATTTCGCGTGTGTTGCGTGAAGGCGGCGACTCGGTTTATATAGAGAAGGGTCGCTTGATCAGGGTGCCCGCATGATCTCCACTGCGCGTAACCGATCCGGATAAGTCGCGCGTAACTTATCCGGACTCCACGCCGTTTTGCACGCATCGGATTTTTCGGAACGTTTATAAAACAAAAACGAATCCGAATTTGCAGCAAAACAAAACTGCAAAAGGAGGCTGCATCTGCGTAAGGTGAGGAACCAATTTTGGCGGACCATTCGACGCGTACGTCGTGCACGCGCGCCGCCTGCCCTGCCCTGCCCTGCCCGGCGAGGCGAGGCGAGCGAGCACGCGCGTGTTCCCCCTCTTCTCTCCACCACACATGCTTCAAGTGGCTAGGAGGGCATCCTCCCTTTTAAAGAGGTCCCCCTCTCCTAGGATAAGTAAGGTGGTACTAAACTCCACATGCATGCCATCCCATGAGGTGGGCTTTTGTGATTTTCCAAAGAATTAATCTTCGAGTGGGCTAAGACCCATTCATTAATTCCAACAATCCCCCACCAAATCTCAAAATCCCACTGAGATTTGCTTTTTCCAATGTACTGTTCATATACCAGCGGTTCGATGGAGACCGATTAAGATTGAACATCCACCTAGAACTCCAAGCTACACTTACTCACAACTTGAACAATGGACTATGCCTTGAATTGCAAGTCTTGTGCAAGCAAGTTTCACTCAGAGTCTTATCTAGTACTAGACCGTCTGTAGACTACCCCTTGGATGGAGCGTATAAGTCATACTCCTAGGTCTTTAGTAAGCTTCCTAGAAGATTTACCCAAAATCTCCATAGACTGCGACCAACAGTCAAGCTCACAAAGGTGAGTTCTTTCAAGAATGCTCTGCAGGACAACATCTTCGCTAATTAAAGCCAACAGAACTCATTAAGGCATAGCCAACCTGCCTTGCAGTTCACGAGAGTACATGCATCTTCACTTAGAGAGGTATAGATTGGTACTCTCCTCTAGTTTACTTATGGTTTGTTCTTCCCAAATTCTAATTCACGGGATCTCCGATCACATAGACTGGGTTACCACCATAGTATAACTCACATGGGTCTCAAACCCATCTCCTTCGATGCATTGTCTATCATATTTCGTGATAGTCCCTTCGTGAAGGGATCTGCCAGGTTTCTAGCTGTTTGGATGTAATCCAACGTTATAACTCCGGAGTTTCTTAATTTCCTGACAGACTTCAATCGTCTTTTCACATGTCTAGACGATTTCATATTATCCTTAGAACTATTCACTTTGATAATTACCGTTTGATTGTCACAGTTCATAAGGATAGCCGGCACCGGTTTTTCAACAATAGGCAGATCCATTAATAGATCACGCAGCCATTCTGCCTCAACAGTAGCAGTATCCAGTGCCGTCAGCTCTGCTTCCATGGTTGACCTCGTCAAAATGGTCTATTTGCAAGACCTCCATGAAACAGCACCACCACCCAGTGTGAAGACATATCCACTAGTGGCTTTGATCTCATCCACATCAGAGATCAAGTTAGAATCACTATAACCCTCCAGTACCGCAGGATACCCAGTATAGTGAAGCCCCAATTCCACAGTACCTTTCAGATAGCGCATTACTCGCTCAAGCGCATGCCAGTGATCATCTCCCGGATTAGAGGTAAATCGGCTCAACTTGCTCACAGCAAAGGAGATATCAGGCCTAGTTGCATGTCACGCCCAGAAATTCCCGAATAGAATTCCAAGCAGAATGTGTATTAAAACCCCCGTCCAGGACCAGCCGGGGTACACAAACGACAAAGTTGACATACAGATCCACGTCTTACAAACATTATAAAGGTCTTACAGAAATGCAGCGGAAAACAAAAGATAACTGGAGCTAAGCCTTGACTTGAACTGCAGCGGGAACACCACTCCACAGGCATCCTCGACGGCACGGACGAAGCCTACTCCTCAGGGAAACCTTCATCTGACACATACCCGTCCTCTGGGGTTGGGGAAAAGTAGAGCAAGACTGAGTACTACCCACTGTACTCAGCAAGTCATACCGGAATAGGGGTATGATGCAGGGAATTAACAAAGAAGAGCTAGAGTGGTTCATTTGCATAAATACTGGCATTTATAAACAGGAATTGAATGCGAAAACGGTTGTAATAATTAAGCAGTATTAAACATCCGCTGTCCAACGCTAACCCACGTTGCGACAGGCCCAACCATCCACCTAAACTATCCAAATTCAACAGATTACACTAGGGTGAGACTAATCACGGTGAATCTGGTTGACCGCCCATAACCGCGGGCACGGCTATTCGAATAGTTTTACTCTGATCAGAGGTGTACAACTGTACCCACAAGACACAGCCCCACGACACGTTTCCGTGCGCCGACATGCCACCACGACATACCGGAAAGAGGCCGTGACAGGACCCCTCGCATAACCCCCCCTAGCCAAGCACACCACACCTCAGGTTTCACCCCCGTCCCCAGCGGGCGACGGGCAGTCCCCTCTCGTGCCTAGGTGAATCCGGAAGCGACAGAGGCCGTCGCAGGGCCCGCCCCGCTCCATCACGCCCACCCTTGCCTGGATGCGTCGACTAGAGGAAAGCTACACTACAAGCCCAGCCGTTGCCCACGCTGGCTTGTGGTAAGTACGATAAATTCTTCCAGGGCATCCCGCGAACCGGTCC